TTACGATGTATTGTAACTTTTCCAGCTATGCGACAGTGCTTGAGGGGCTGGACGAGGAGCATATTGACTTACTCCGTCGATCGTTTTTATGGTCGTTCTATCCGTTGAAAGACGTGCAGTTTTCTGGACAGATTGTTGATTCTTTATTACTTCGGCTGCTTAAACCAGTCGATCGCGATCAGTTATATTTTGCTATGGACGACGGGAAGGTATGTAGATTCTCGATCTTTGAATTTGCCCTGATTACGGGCTTGAGATGTACCGGAGAAGAAGAAGTTAGAGCCCGTATTATACGAAATAAAAGGTTATTGGATTTATATTTTGGAGGTAAAGGGCCAGTTACACCACCACAGTTAGAGGACGCATTTAGGAGATGCGATCACATGTTAGACAAGTTGAAGTTAGGATTGGTGTATATACTGGAGAGTATATTGAGGTGTCGACATCGTAAGACGTCGATCGATCTTTTTTCATTGGATGTTGTTGATGATATCGATACTTTCAACAGCTTTCCATGGGGTCGGAGATGTTACACCGATACTCTTTATGTATTCAAAAGGGTACATACTATGCCGAAATCGGAGAGGGGCGATCACAAATATGATGTATATGGCTTTTGCATGGCTTTGCAGGTAAATATTCAGTGTAACGTAATGCGTGTTAAACTTTTTTATTAAATGTATATGTAAAGTTTTATTTTGTAATTGTTGCAGTTGTGGGCATATGAGGCTATCCCTGCTTTGGGTAGCAAATGGGCGATCAGAAGGGAGACCAGTTGCCCACGAATGCTTCATTGGTGAGCACATGAAAAGCCATCGGCTAAAGATTTGACAGTTATCCTCGACGATCCTCAAGTGAGTATTATATATTTGCAATTTATATTGTACATACATTTACTCGGCTTGATACATGCTCGTTAATACGTTGAAATATGATACGTTAGCTCGAAGTTCATGCTGAGTTGGTTGTTTTGATGGAAGAGGAAGATGCAATATATGTACATGAATTACTTGTTCCATCTACTGAAGACGATCCAATATTTGAGTCCGTTCCGGATAGAAATATAGTACGTTTATTTAAGATCATTATTTATTTTGACTTATAAATTCATGTGTGGATTATTAATATTAATTGTCTTCTCTGTGTAGGAGCGTCATCCGGAACTTCCACTTAGGAGATCTCCTTCGCCTCCACCGATGAGATCTCCGTCGCCTCCACCGATAAGATCACCTCTACCGCCATTATCTCATTCTTCGAGGATATCTCCGTCTCCCGTACCCACCCACGTCCCACGTGGATTGTCTACACCCAGTCAGACCCGTCGTTCAGATGATTTCTTTGCACGCATGACCGTCATTATTAGAGAGGAACTGGGAACGATGCGACGTGATTTTATGACAGAGGTAGTCGCACTACGAGAGGAGATAGGGGTGTTGCAACGGGATTTTACGACAGAGATCGTCGCAGTACGAGAGGAGATAGGGGTGCTGCGACGAGATTTTACGACAGATGTAGTAACTTTGCGAGATGAGATTGGAGTGCTGTGACGAGATATAGGAGACCTTCATACTGAGGTTGCAGCACTTCGAGGCGATGTAGCAGGCGTCCGAGGGAATGTCGGGGAGACTGGTGTTCCTCGAGATTGGTGGGCAACGGTCGCAAAAATCGATGATTTTTTTGGTTCGGTGCCGGAGGCTGGGAGGGAGGGGTGGAGGTCGGGTAGGAGGAGCCAGAGGAGGCCGAGATGCCCGAGGTGGAGGTCTCAGAGGAGGTCGAGATAGAGGGGGTGGAGGGAGGGACAGGGGTGGCCTAGGAGGTAGCGGAGGGGACATCAGAGGTGGTAGTAGAGGGGGATGATCAGGTTGCGGAGAAGGAAAGGACGCCAGAGATGACGGATGACGAGGTAGTATTCGTGTCGAAGGGGGCGACGGAGGTCCCAAAGGGTAAGAAGCGTGCTATTGACGCGCCAGAGCTGATGGTCGGTAAGAGATCAAGATTGCCGTCACAGTACATCGTTTCTCCATACACGGCCGAGGCGAAGAGAAGGGGGTTTGTGGATGGGGCGTTCTCCAATCTTTTTCGCGACGTCGACCCAGTCAGACAGAAGGCGTTCGATGATTGGTTCAAATCCCTTAAGTCCAAATAAGTATTTTATGATTTTGCTACTATTTTTTTGTATTTTTCGTAACTGTTTTTTCATTTTTCAGAGATAGTTATACCATCGGCTGTATGACCGTGCCCAATGCTAAAAAGTGGTTTGAAGACGTACTGACGACCTCAGCTTGGTTCGCTGATGATGTAAGTGTTTTGAGTTTCCGTTTATTATATTTATAGAAGTTGTTGGTTCATTTCCTTAAATGAATCTATCTTTTTTGTTGGTATTTTTTTGTTTCAGCATATCGACTTGGCTATGGAATTGTTACGCGATCGGGCGCGAAGATACCCGAGATCTTATGACAGTCCTAGTCGAGTTATCCTTAGCTCTGAGTTCGCTCGTGTCATAGATATTGAGCATCACGAGCTCCTAAGCAAAGGGAATGATTATGTTCTGTGTGAGTACATGCTGGAGTGGGTGATTGGACTACAATTGAGGTGCGAAAAGTCGTGGACGGATTGTACACATATGTACATTCCAGTGATCGCGAACTCACATTGTTTTTCGGTGGAGATCGTATTTGCTGATTCCACCATATATGTGTACGACTCTGATCATAGCTGTTTGACACAAAGTCAACTAGAGCAAATACTGGAGCCATTGGCTGCAATCGTGCCCATGATGGCTAGTCATGCGATGATTCGAGTAAATGATAGATTAGCCATTGTGCGGAATATGACGACGGCGAGACAAGAAAGATCGTAAAGATTTACAACTTTTTAATTTTCAGATTTAATTTTCAATTATATGTTATGGAACTAATATATTCTACTTCTGTTGTAGGGGTGACTGTGGCTTATTTGCAATCAAGTACATAGAGTTCTTGAGCATTGGTCGCAATGTTGATACAATAAATCAGTCTTGGATTGATATGTAGAGGCATAAATTAGCTTGCGACTTGTATGAATATAACTGTGATCCTTAGTGCATTGTATATTATTTTATTAAAATGTAAATGTTGTTTACATCAGTAGGATTCGTGTTGTACTGAAAGAAAGAAATAATCGAAATAGAGTTTATTGTATGATATTTTTTTGAAAATGTAAAAAAAAAATTATTTAATTGTGATTCAAATTTTTAATTTAATTGTATATTTATTGCAATTTTTTAATAGTTGATTTGGATCATATAATGATAATCGGGAATTAAATGGACTCAATCGGATGCAATTGGAAAAAAAATGACCAATTCATGTAATATTTGGTTCGAAAAAAGCTTTAAAAATTTTGGGGATCTAATTGCAACTTTTTAATAGTTGATTCGAAACATAAAACGATAATCGAGAATTAAATTGACTCAGTTGGATTCAATTGAAACAAAAATGACTGATTCATGTAATGTTTGGTTGAAAATGGCTTTAAAAATTTTGGGGACCTAATTGCAAATTTTGGGGACCAATTAAGAGAATTAATTAAAGAAATAGTAAAACGAAAAATCGAATAAATATTATTATTTTTATTCAAATAAATAATCGAAATAGAGCAATTAAATATGAAATAAATAATATGCATAATTAACGAAATATTTAACGAATAAATTAAATTGAATAATATTTTTTTTTACTTAACCAATTAAAATAATTAATTAAAGAAATAGTAAAACGAAAAATCGAATAAATATTATTATTTTTATTCAAATAAATAATCGAAATAGAGCAATTAAATATGAAATAAATAATATGCATAATTAACGAAATATTTAACGAATAAATTAAATTGAATAATATTTTTTTTTACTTAACCAATTAAAATAATTAATTAAAGAAATAGTAAAACGAAAAATCGAATAAATATTATTATTTTTATTCAAATAAATAATCGAAATAGAGTAATTAAATATGAAATAAATAAAACACATAATTAACGAAATATTTAAAGAATAAATTAAATTGAATAATATTTTTTTTACCTAACCAATTAAGATAATTAATTAAAGAACTAGTGAAACGAAAAATCGAATAAATATTATTATTTTTATTCACATAAATAATCGAAATAAAGTAATTAAATATGAAATAAATAAAACACATGATTAACGAAATATTTTTTTTACTTAACCAATTAAGATAATTAATTAAAGAAATAGTAATCTCTCCATATTGTTAGTTAATATATATCGTTGTCTCACTTGTTTTAAAAGAAAACAAACAAATACATGACACATAGAAAATACATATGACAAATGTGATAAAGATTAAAAAGAGTAATTAAACAATGTGATAAAGATTACATCCGATTTAAATTCAGAAAATCACAAACACGTGACAAATAGAGAATACATATGATTTATATAGATACTACACATCCGTCGAGTCATTGTTTAGTGGGATCTGACTTGTACAAAATCGACGTGTATGTCCTATAGTGCCGCACCTCCCGCACTTACGCGGTTGTGGAAACTCTCTTGTAGATGGTATTCTAGACGTCCGTCTACGATCAGGAGTACGCGGTGGAGCTTCAGGTGGCAACAAATTATTAAGTGCTACAATATAATCAGGAACTTCTCACTCGGCTTCATTCGGTAGAGGAAATATAGTTTCGGCATAAGCTGCTCTTCAAAAATCAGTCATATAATAATGACTGCACAAGCTGTGTGGTGGAAAATCCTCTATACATAGCCACTGCGACAGCATGTGCACATGGAAAACTTTCCAACTGAAATTTTCTACACGTGCAAGTATTGTCATTCAAGTCTACAATGTATCCAACATTACGCCTGCATCTCACGGAGAAGCGAAATTGATCTAGTGGTTCCACAAATAGAGCTTTTGCCACTTCCAGAGTTTTGAATAGTCGATCTTCCTGTGCCGGAGCTAGCACACTCGTGCAATTTTGGGATTCTTCACGTCGGTCATAAAACCACTGTTGCAACTTGCTACGAATATATTCAATCATTGCGAGAATCGGTAACTCTCGATCCTTCTTGAATGATGCATTGAGCGACTCTGCATTATTCGATGTCATCATGTTGTATCGACGTCCTGGAAAATGTGACCGAGCCCAATGTTCGACCCCCATATCTGATAGATATTCCCATGCACTTTCTGATTTATGTTCTATTTCGCCCATGAACTTTGTAAACTCTTCAAAGCTGTAAGCTTCTGCAGCTCTCCTAAACAATGCAACGATACCACTGTCCCGGTACCTAGTCTTCAGATTGCCCTGAATGTGGTACATGCAATAACCATGATGTGCTTCTGGAAAAACTTCGGCTATACCATTTATTATTGACTGCCCCCGGTCAGTCACAAATGCAAGGTTCTCGATGTTCCCAATTACTT